GTTTTTAATATTTAATTAAATATTAATAATGTTATTATAAAAATTAATTTATACACACCTACCCCACCCAAATCCAACTTTTAAATCCCTAATTTTTCACTTTCAGTGTAACTCCCTCACAGTCGCTCTCTCTCTCTCTCTCTCTCTCTCTTCTCCGGCGATGGCTTCTTCCTTCTCTCCTCCCTTCTCCTCCGCCTCCCTCCCTTCCGACTCCACCCGAATTCACGTCGCGCGATGCTACCTTAATTAGGGCAGCGTCACGTAACGGCCCTGCTGCTAATTTGTAGCAGCGATTCGTTCATGCCGGCAGTTTGGTACGAGTTTGGTGAGCCACATGCTAAGATTTCTGTGTACCCACTGTCCTTTTTTTGATGTGGTTTGTGACTGATTTGTGATAGTAGGTCGCAGTTGTGGTGTGGTTGGTCTGTAAAGTAATGGGGTTGAAAATGGTGGTTGTTTTGCCAACGTTGGCGGTGGTAGTGATGGTTTGATAAGTTCATGGTGGTTTTGGGTTGTGGTGGTCGTACTGAGGTATCGACGGTGATCGTGGCACTGGAGGTGGCGGCGTTGAATTTGGTTTTGGCGGAGGGCAATCAAATTTTATAGTTTTTGGGGGGGTTTTTTTTGTTGGCGGTGGTGACCCAGTCGCAGGGGACATATTTGACTAGAGGGAGCAGTCCGGACTCGTGTAAGCTATGGTGGTTGCTACTGTCATGGTGGTTGTGAAGTGGTGTTGATTTGTCGTAAGTTGTTGGCTTTGTTGACAACGTTGGCTATAGTGAGTTGCCGGCTGTGGTAGCGGTTGCGGAGTAGGGTTAGCGTAGTGTTGGCGGTGCTATGTGTTTGACGGCGGTGTCGTGGTTGGCTGTGGTAGCGGCTGCGGAGTAGGGTTAGGGTAGTGTTGGTGGTGCTGTGTGTTTGACGGCCGTGTCGTGGTCGCGACGGTCGACTTTTGTGGGTGGGATGAAATGGGGCTTGGTGTCTGTGACCAATTATTTGGTTAATTGTGACGAATACTGTGACCTGTCATTTTTTGCATGTAAGACGGTGGTGGTGGTGGTGGTGGTGGTGAGGTGGTGTTGTAAAGTCTATGTGACCAATGCTGTGACCTGAGCCATGTGCTGTGACTTGATTTATGTGCTGTGACTTATGTTGTGATCTGAGTCATGTGCTGTGACCTGTGCTGTGACATGAGTCATGTGCAATATATTCTGTGATCTACGCTGTGACCATTTGAAAATAACCAGTGAATATAAAAAAAAAAATGAGTCGTGTGCAAAATATTTTATGACATGTGATGTTGCCATTTGAAATAAATTTGTGACTATCAACAAAAATGTAAGACATCATTATAAACAAAAAATCATGCGTTGTCACTTGTGACCTGAACTGTGACTTATGACTTGTGACCTGCGCCGTGACTTGTGACCTGGGCTGTGACCGTACAAAAAAATTCATGTCACCGGAGTGATCGCCGGAATCGGAATGGTTGCCAAAGTGGTCATCGGAATGGTCACCGGAATCGGAGCATCGTCGAAATGATAGCCAGAGCAGTCGTCGGGATCGGAACGGTCGCC